GACAGACTAGAGACACATGTTAGAGTTAGAGAAACATGGAGAAGTAAAAGATGGTAAAGATTTTGTTTTCTTCTGGTCCATTTGAAGCCACATTTGTCCTGGTTTTGACAACCTTTTCCATCTTTGCTTATTTCTTGTTGTTTTTTTAACACTAAAAACTGGATATTAAAGTTCAGCCTCTCTGCAGTCACATGTTGCACTTTTCATGTGAGCTGTAAATGCCTGAGGTTTCATCTTATATTTACTTTCCAGGGTGCAGATCTTAAACTGTTTGCAGCTAAAGCAAACTTTTGTTTATGCTCACCAATCTACAAACACAGAACATATATTTGTTCTTATGTTTAAGCAACAAAACTCAACCTTAACCAGTAAATCACAGTCTTACAATTTGTTTAACACCCTTCGTTTGGTGATTGCACAGATAGAAAGAGCTAACTAAACTTCTCAACAGTCACCAAGAGCCCAAAAATTGTCCGTCATTTCTGACTGGCAGAAAAAGGGAAAACTACTCTGAAAAACCAAAGTGGAGCCTGTCCCTTCAAAACATCTGCAAAGGACACAGTGGAGCCGTTCCCTTTTCCCCTTGCTCATTGGCACTGTCACCATAGCGATGGGATTGAAGTAGGTGCTGAGAGACACAGAGTCAGATGAAAGCGAGGTGCCCCCAGGCCCCCCCCCCCCCCACCAGTCTTTGGTGTCTGGAAGAGGTGGAGGAGCCGAGAAAACATCAAACCATCCATCTGCTGAAGGAACATGAAAGAATTACGAGGGCCCTCGGTGTTGTCTGTCTGCTCCCAACGATGAGGAGAAAAAAAAAAAGAAAGAACATTGATGGAAAGAAAACAGCAAAACTTTTGACATGTACTTGTTTACTTATTACCAGATTATAGTTTCATACACACAGTTTGCAGCATTTTCACAGTAATGGAGTCTACCAGTGTTTTTTAGTGCCCGACCGATATGGAATTTTTGGGGCCGATACCGAAATAAAAAAAGAAAATCTGATACCGATATATCGGCCGATATCTTTCTTAGATCTATGAAATCTATAGAGGTGGATAGATATACACATTACATATTTGAGCCCTCAAATGCAGTTATCAAACACTTGTGGAAAAAATGTATAACATAGACAAGATGGTCACTTGACATGAAAGTAACATGCATTAACGTGTGCTTGTTGTCATACATATAGCGCCCTCTGCTGGTGACAGAGAGCTGATAGTGTAAAACAGTGAAACTCAAATGAAAGGCTATTTGACTGGTGAATAAATCAAGTAACATCAGCGCATATCTGTGATAAAATTAGCCGATACCGATCGTCACTGCATATGCTAATCTCTGCGATATTATCGACTGGCTGATAAATCGGTCTGACTCTAGTTTTTTGTTTGTTTTTGTTTGTTGACAGACTCCTTAAAAATGTTCAAACCCACAACAAGCTGATCCACTAAGAAGTATTTGCTTGTTTTGAATACCTGATGAATTGTTTCTTCTGTGCATAAGTTCTCTATTGTTTCCAAAAGTACGAATAAAACAACATCAATGAGTCACACTGTTGCACTTTATCATCATCTACATTTGTTTTATTTAGCAGCAGCTGTTCATGCAGTGTGATGCTGTTGAAGCATTAAGAATAAAACACAAATAAGATAAATTATCGTCTACTTTTGCATACAGAGGGCAACAGTTGTCTGCAAAAAAAATGCTGTAAAACAAACACAAGGTGGTACATTTAAACTGTTAAACACACTTAATACTTCTCATATTCAAGGTGATGATAACAGGCAGTATGTGTTTCCATGGTAACAGTTGTTGTTGTCCCAGTTCCACATGCACACTGTATGTACAGTGCTATGTCAAAGTATGCTGTTTATTTTTGGGTTTTTTTGCATTTAGTATTGAACAAAAAAATAAATCAATGTACTTTTCCCTTTTTACACTGACAGGAAATGGGCAGTGTGTGTGTGAGCCAAACACACTCTGACTTTGGAGCTGCTGATGGTTCAGCTTGAAATATGTTTCGCGCTAATCCGGAGGTTTTATTATTCAGTGTTTTTTTTAGACAGACGTCCAAACACAGCTTAGCGTTTGTGCTTTTTCTTTTTGCGTTGCACTGTGGAACAACTCAGACTCTGACTGTTTATTTTTTTCTTTTAAGATTTATTTTTGGGGCTTTTTTACGTCTTTATTGGAGAGATAGGACACTTTAAAAAAAAAAGAAGTACTTTATTAATCCCTGAGGGAAATTCTGATTTACACTGAGAGACATGCTTCTCCAACACACACATGCACAAACAGGACCTGTGGACATGCATTAGTGGGGATAAGTCAGAGCCAGCTAACAATCCAACTTCCATATTAATGGTCTGCATCGGGACTTGAACCAGCAACCCTCTGGATCACAACACAAGTCCCTACAGACTGAGCTACTGCACATACGGTGCTGGTGCATGCACCAATCACCAAGCTAATGGTGTGTTCCTCGTGTAAAAAGACTGAAAATCATTTTCAAGTTTCAGGCATGTCGTTGTGAAATGAGTTATTGTACCACCTTGCTGCACCTAACTCCCCTTTCTCTCATCACAAGAATTTCACACACCAAAACGGAGCGTTGTGAGAGAGCTGGTTTATACAGGGTCACAAACCTCCTCTGGTGCTTGATTTATGTTATATTTTGAGCAAAGTACAGCACAGATGTTTCATTTAGACCACAGGGGGACTGTTTGAAAAGGTGGAGGAGGGGGATGATATGTCCCCTTTAAAATCTGTTGGATTCAATACTGACCCTTTTTTTTTTTGAATGCATCCGCCCCGTAAACCGAATGAATGAACATGTTGAATCTGTTATTTGTATGACTCGATTTGACCGAGGTATGACCCCGGAGACGTTGCCACAAAAACATGTCGATTGGAAAAGCTAATAATGGGACATAGCCGACCTGTTGAGAGACATTGGGCGCGTCCGTATTGCTGTTTTATTGGGTGTTGACCGTCTGCTCCTCTGCGCCTGTAGTGACTTTATGTCTGCTGGTTACCTCAGCCTGCAGCCCGATGCAGCGTCAGTGCAGAGCAGACGACCCTCTGAGATGAGTGACACGTGTTAATGCAGCTGCTTGACCGGACTGACAAAGGAGGACAATGGCGTTAACTACACGCTTCCTGCTGTTTGAAGCGAACACGTTTGCATATTTCATCTCTAAGCCTGCAGACAGCCGAGGCTCTGCTCGCACAAAAGCAGATGTAACTTAATCATTGAAAGTTGTTCTGATGTTTTATTCAGCGTGTTTATCCGTCTCTCTGGCTGGATTTTAAATCCTCCTCTTTCCCTTCAAATCCCACAGAGTGAATACATGTCCCAACAACTGCTCCGGCCGAGGCGAGTGTCGCGTGAGGAACGCCACCGGCTCGGTGTACTGCGAGTGTGAAGCCAACTGGAAAGGGAAAGCCTGCGATGTCCCGTCCTGCCTGGATAACTGCGGCTACCCCGAACGAGGCCGCTGTCAGGGCAAGACCTGCGTCTGCAAGTCTGTATGGCAAGGTGGGGCGATGTGACCTCATTGTCTCACACACGATGTCATCACGTTTACACCAGCAGAACCCACACATGCCCAAACCCTCCATCACATCTCACTACTCACTGAGCAGAACAGAGAGCGACTCTTTTTCTAATGTAGGAAGTAAAGGAATAAATGCAGCTCATACATTTAAATTCAAACTTGATTAAAAGGCAGAAGATCTAGGATTAGATTTTAATGAATGAGGGAGAGATATTTGACTTGGCCTGCTGCCTCCTGATGACCTAACCGCCATTCAGCAGTGAGAGAAGTTTTCCATACGACGGTTTTAAGTTTTATGGATTTATCTGTTGGAAGATCTTAATTTTAGACGAGGGATAAACCGTTGAAACCGCCAAGGAAACTTCCCACATTGAGTTGAAGGTGGTTTATATCAGCCATAAATACCAAAAAAAAAAACAGGAATCAGTGATGAAGTGATGAAGAAGAGGCTGTTTCACATTTCAGTTTGAGCTCTCTCTCTCTTTCAAAAATCAAAAAGTGCACCACCAAATTTGAAGGGGTCTAGAAATCTAAGCAATAAAATGTTAGAAATCTCTCTCTGAAAAAAACATTGCTAACTGTTGTTTTAAATCTGTTCATATACCAGTCAAACCATTTGTATTATAGCAGCTCAATCCCAAAAGGACAAAAGTCTCCCAACATACGTAAACTATGAGATGATTGAGATTTCTCCTCATGTTTTGGAGGATTTAATAATCAGAACAAGCAATCCAACACTCTCCTCAAACCTTCCATTCTCTCTCTTTCGATGCATCAGTTGGAGAGTTTAGTAAAGAGGGTGTTGCTGGCTTTACCCGTCCACATTTTGCTTTTTCTTTTCCTGGTGATTCAAGCCGGTGCCTCTTCATCGCTAAATCCTTCCCCCGCTATCACTGCCTCTGCCCCCGCATCACCCCCGCATCACCCATCTGCTATAACCTCATGGACTTCAAATGAAGATTCTGCAGCCTCAGCTTCCTCATCTTTTATTTTTTTTAGTTGAGTCATGAGTGTGGAGCCTTTTTTTTTAATTATTATTATCTGCTGATGACCTGACACCACTGTGTCCATTTGATTCTGACCATATGGGCGTTTTTTTTTTTCGCCCGCTCTATTAAGTCTTAAAACGGCTCCACTGCGCCACGCTGCACAAGCAAGAGACAACGGCTTAATTTAACTGCACTTATATCAGCAGCTCAGCGTGCTCACAATCTAATTACCAAAGCTGAGGGAGCTAAGAAACAGACTGGCCTTTTTTTTTTTTTTTTAAGCCTTTTATTACCTTGTCATGGTGTGTTAGCTAAGGAATAGCACACTTAGTGTACTCCTTTCTGCCAGCCTCCAAATGAACCCGTTCTCCCTCGCCAAGCGGTGCAGAGACAGATGTCTGTTTAGTCAAGCTAGCCTTGCATTTAATCGCCCTTTCAAGGATGCGTAGCGACGTCTTAAAGGAAGGTTAAGGCAGCGTTTGTTTTTATTTATGGGGATGCAACGAAAAAGGTCCAGAGATAATTCAGTTTGCTTTAGCATTACTGGAGTCAAACTGAAACTAACGAGCCACAGGGGGATTTTTTTCTTTAGAATCAAACAAACAGAGGAACGGGTTAAGAGCGACCTTGATTGTTGTTTAAAATCACAACACTTCCTTTTCCATCACGTGGCCGCTCTTACATTGTTTCATTTATGAGCAATAAGAAAGTCCCTGAGTGGTCACCGGCCTGTTCCTGCTGTTAGATACCAAAAGAGAAGCACTGATTGGTCGTTAAATGTTTGATTTTAATCGGGTAGTTTTAATAAACTGTTGATGAACGAGATCAGGAAACTGCACCAGAACCAAAAGTCTGACAGGATATTTCTATTCATGACTCGGCAGCTGTTGCCAAAAAACGTCTCTTAAATCTTTTCCCTTCTTTCAGTCGTGTTTCCGGTTCATGCTGCCGTTATTGTTTTCGTTCAGTAACAAGGGGAAGGCCGCTCCGGCTTGTGCCAAATGTCTTTAAATAGTCGTTGGAGTCATCCCTGAAGACCTCGTGGTTACTGTTTCCAGAGACAACGTTTACAAACGTGACATAAAATCTGAACCTTATTCAAACTTTTGGGTTTAAAGGTTCACAAAGTCGATGAAATGTTCCCAATAAAGTGTTCCTGTTATTTTTCTCCCCTTATGTGGGCAGAATATTATATAGAATATATATCGCACCACCCGCACCACCACCCTCCACCATGCACCACCACCCTCCACCATGCACCCTCCACCCTCCACCATGCACCCTCAATCCTCCACCATGCACCCTCAATCCTCCACCATGCACCCTCCACCCTGCACTATGCATCCTGCACTATGCACCCTCCACCATGCACCCTCCACCATGCACCCTCCACTATGCACCCTCCACCACGCACCCTCCACCATGCACCCTCAATCCTCCACCATGCACCCTCAATCCTCCACCATGCACCCTCAATCCTCCACCATGCACCCTCCACCCTGCACTATGCATCCTGCACTATGCATCCTGCACTATGCACCCTCCACCATGCACCCTCCACCATGCACCCTCCACTATGCACCCTCCACCATGCACCCTCCACCATGCACCCTCCACTATGCAACCTCCACTATGCAACCTCCACCATGCACCCTCCACCATGCACCCTCCACTATGCACCCTCCACTATGCAACCTTCACCCTTCACCCTCCACCCTCCACCCTCCACCATGCACCCTCCACTATGCACCCTCCACTATGCAACCTTCACCCTTCACCCTTCACCCTCCACCCTCCACAGAGTATTGGGGTAGCTGGCTGGCTGGTTCCAGGCGCGCATCACTTGATGTAATGATTTTGTGAAATGTCAATGGAGGACATACTCCCTTTAAAACCTTTCCAAAACTTAAGACAACCTCTGGAACTCATCTACTTTTCTCCTCTAAACTGATAACTCTGCATTTCTGATACCAAATCACTTCAAGCGTGCATAATTACTCCGTTATTATGTGAGGCTTTAAAATGCACCATGACCTCTCTGCCCTTTCCTTCACCTTGCTTTCATAAAATCAGGAGATAGAATCAAAGAGCAACATGATTTTTTTCCCCTCTCATACACTGGAAGAAAAAGGCCCCGATATATTGGACCCCTTAGTTAGCTGCAGGAAATGAAAGTGAACTAATGAAGCCTGTTTAATCCTCCTGCTGCTGGGATTTTCTGATGAGCTGTTCTTCTTCTTCTGCTGATTTAGTAGCATTTCCTTCCTCTTCAGGCAGTCTGTTTTTATTTTTACCCTAAAAGTTTAAGGCCTGTTTGTTGTGTTTATCACTTCTAAATTAATCATTAAGCCTCCTGCGTTGGCTACATGTCTTCCTCAGGTCCAGACTGCTCCGTCTCAGTACCTGCCAACTCCTCCTTCTGGACCCGGGAGGATTACAACGAGGCAGGGCTGGCCAGGGCGTCCCACAAGGCCGTGGTGGACCAGGGCATCATGTGGGTGATCGGAGGCTACGTCTTCAACTCCACCGACTATCACATGGTCAAAGCGTAAGTTCCTCTCGTTACCCCTGGGAGCATCTCCGCCTTGATTTCAGGCATTTGGCTGCTTCACTCATACGAGAGAGCTGGGAGACAGAAGTCCTGCTGTTGCTATGCGACTGTGAGGAGTTTGCCTTAGAAAAACACTAAAAAATGTCAATGATTTTCACTTACAGTACATGCCTGTTTTACAGAGCGTTAAAGAAGTTTGTAAAATTCTCAATATTTTTAAATTCCACATGTTTTAAAACGACACAACCTCTGTTACTTTCATCATAAAAGAGAGAGAGGACGCTGCACAAAATAGTTGGCAATGTTTCCGTACCAAAATGTTGCTTAAATTTGTTTGCAATGTAGACAGTGAGAAGGAGTTTGCCTTCAACTGTTGGTAATTAAAGGTCACATATGATTTAAATATGTAAATGAGCTGTGTCTGACCACGCCCCCCTCTCTGGAAGGACTCTGGTGTCTCTGTCTTTCTCGCTCCATGTCCTATTGTTTATGGTGAGAAGTCAGACTCAGAGGGCCGAACAAACACCTAGCTGTGGGAGTGTCACCCACCTGGGGGAGGGGCTACTGCCCTTTGTGATCTCATGAAGGGAAAATCTCCAAACGGCCTGTTTGAGCACACATTTTCTGAAAAGTGGAGCAGGCAGAAGACGGAGAGGATGGACTTTTCTCATCATTGGGGGGTTTGTAGACAGACTAGAGACACATGTTAGAGTTAGAGGAACATGGGGAAGTGGATTTTGCAGAATATGTGACCTTTAAAAACGAGAAATTGCCCAATATTGGTTGCCCTGTACTTCAATTTTTAAGTCAAACTTGGCTGTCAGGAAGAAGCAACAGGATTTAAAAGCACCAACAGGAAAGATGACCGCTCTGCACACACAGATCTGTGACGGGCACAGAGCAGAGGTTGTATTTAAAACATCAAATTACAGGATAGGATGATCCTCGCCCTGAACTCCACCCTGGAAGGTCACACTTTTCCCCTTAACTCATGTTTTGGTTTTTATAGTTTGCAGATGAGCTGATGGCCTTTCATGGTTTTGTATTAGTCTTTACGTTTTGTTTGTCACCTTGCCAGAGCTGGATTCCACTATAATGGTAATCCACTATAATGGTAATCCACTCCCCTGAATGTAGCTGTGAAGCTTGTTGTAGCCTGTTTTGGATGCAGTAGCGGTGATACAGGCATGTCAAAGCCTTCTGTTGCCAACAATCTGTTCCATTGTTATGTGGAAACTTCTGTTAATGGGTTTGGGAGTGGACACCTTTGGATGATTGGAGCCAAAACTCGTAAAAATTAGTCAAGCTGCACAAGCCAAAGTCCAACATTTGCAGCTCCAAATGGTGAAAAAATGGGCCAAAGAATTATTTAAACAAAAAAGAGCCAGAAACTAAAATACGCAGGAGGGAACTCAGGAGCTACATGAAGATATGTGGTTTGTAACTTACATGGTGGATGAAGATTTACAGACAGTGACGTGCAGTAATATGATGTAACCACACAGAGAGAGAGGGAGAGACAGGAGCTCAAGGTGCCAGGTCCCCCGGCAGTCTAAGCCTACAGCAGCATAAATAAGAGCTGGTCCATACCTGAGCCAGCACTAACTATACATTTCATCAAAAAGGAACGTTTCAAGCCCACTCTTAAAAGAACAGAGGGTGTCTGCCTCTCGGACCCTGACTGGTAGATGGAAGAATCTTCTCATCTTTACTGACTGTATAGGTCTCACACCTTTCTGTTTTTCCTCCCCTTCAGGTTCAACCTCAGCAGGAAAAGCTGGATGACCCTCGACCCGTCTGTCAACACTGTCACACCGAGATACGGCCACTCGCTCGCTCTGCATGAGGTATGTGCAGGGAGGAGAACCACACATTAAGACTTGGGAGGTTTTTAGCGACTAATTTCCCCTGTCGATTTAACTTGTCGACTCGTCGAGATCACAAGAGAACACTTCGAAAAAAGTTCAACACAAAACCGACCGCTCCTTTAAATGCAGCTGAAATAGTTTGGCACCTTGCATTACTCTCCAGGTAAACAATGTCAAATTGGTTTTCCAAAGTGTGGCTAACTTTAGCAGCGCTAGCATCGTCAGCTAGTCCTCCTTGCAGATTAGCGTCCACAAGCCTGTGCTGAACGTTCTTACACATCGCTCCAGCCGAGACAAACGAATTCTTCTCCTTTTTTTTTTTTTTTTTTAGATAAAAATACCACAAAACCGTGCTGCTCCTACAGGTTGCAATCTGCCCACCTTGGTTGTTTATATGTGGGCAGTAGAGCGGGGAGAGAGGGCCCGTTACCCTGAGCTACAGCCCCATCTAGTGACAGGCGGCTGCATTACAGCTTAGACACAACATGTAACCTGCTTACATCAATAAAAACATCAATAACTTGTTCAATCAACTAATAACTCTGGTGCAGACTCGGAAGGTGACGACAGACGTTTAGTTGAAATTGTGCACATCCCTAATTTAAGTCTCTTAATAACTTTTCTGTGCTTACAGTTCATTTGACATGCATCTGTAGTTTCTGCCGACTCTGCGGGATTTGAACAGAGCTTCAAAAAAAAGCATGAGAAACAGACGACAGCTAAATTAAACAGAGGCATACACAAGCTGAAATACGATCAACTCCCCCGACCTTATATTGATGCTTTCAGCAGCGTCTGAAACTAATATATAGCATCTCTGGGATTCTGATTTGCTGCAGTGAAGTGGTGAAGCAGTTTTCTTCTTAGCCAGAAAAGACTGCGAGGAGCCGCTGATGGAATAATAAATGAGAGCGAGGAGGAGAGACGCAGTCTGTCCGCTCTGTGGTTTGAGAGGAGTGAGTGCACGAGGAGCCGCGGAGTGTTTGTGATGCACAAATTGCATCAGAGTGTCTGAGTGTGTCTTTTGGAGTCAGCACAGGCACTACTGGCAAGACACATCTGAAAATCAAGGCAGTGTTGGTGCACAAACTCAATCGGCATTTCAACAACTGATAATGCAGCGTGTCAGGCATTCGAGCACACACACCCTCCCCTCGTTTATAAATCAAGGTCTGATAGTACAGCTGCATAACAGTCGCTCCTTGAAATGAACTAGCAAAGCAATTATCATTTCAAGCCCCTCGCTGGGACTTCCTTTGGCCTTTTCTTGTTTTTAATGAGAAACTTTGGAGTTGCAGAATCATTTTACAAGTTTTTTTTTGTTTTTGCTACTTAAACATAAAAGACCCTGCATTCTGACAACATACAAAAACATCAGTTACATGAAATTAGTTAAATTTATGATACAGACCTACATTGAGGGTCCGGGCGTCTTGTGTGGGGAGCGTGCTTATGTTCACACAAGACCTTTTTTCAAAATTAGGCCCTATGTTCCCACATTTTATTTTTCATAAGTTTGTATCAGATTTTATCCCCCTTTCTCCCAATTTGGTAGCCAATTACACCCAACCTAAGAAAGAAAAAAATTCTTAAGAAAAATCTTAGAAATGTGAAAAAAAAATCTTAGAAATATGGGACCATAGGGCTGTGGGACCATAGGGCTGTGGGAACAAAGGGCTGTGGGAACATAGGGCTGTGGGAACATTGGGCTGTGGGACCATAGGGCTGTGGGACCATAGGGCTGTGGGAACAAAGGGCTGTGGGACCATAGGGCTGTGGGAACATTGGGCTGTGGGACCATAGGGCTGTGGGACCATAGGGCTGTGGGAACATATGGCTGTGGGAACATTGGGCTGTGGGAACATAGGGCTGTGGGAACATTGGGCTGTGGGAACATAGGGCTGTGGGAACATTGGGCTGTGGGAACATTGGGCTGTGGGACCATAGGGCTGTGGGAACATATGGCTGTGGGAACATTGGGCTGTGGGAACATAGGGCTGTGGGACCATAGGGCTGTGGGAACATTGGGCTGTGGGACCATAGGGCTGTTGGAACAAAGGGCTGTGGGAACATAGGGCTGTGGGAACATTGGGCTGTGGGACCATAGGGCTGTGGGACCATAGGGCTGTGGGAACAAAGGGCTGTGGGACCATAGGGCTGTGGGAACATTGGGCTGTGGGACCATAGGGCTGTGGGACCATAGGGCTGTGGGAACATATGGCTGTGGGAACATTGGGCTGTGGGAACATAGGGCTGTGGGAACATTGGGCTGTGGGAACATAGGGCTGTGGGAACATTGGGCTGTGGGAACATTGGGCTGTGGGACCATAGGGCTGTGGGAACATAGGGCTGTGGGAACATTGGGCTGTGGGAACATAGGGCTGTGGGACCATAGGGCTGTGGGAACAAAGGGCTGTGGGAACATAGGGCTGTGGGAACAAAGGGCTGTGGGACCATAGGGCTGTGGGAACATAGGGCTGTGGGACCATAGGGCTGTGGGAACAAAGGGCTGTGGGACCATAGGGCTGTGGGAACATTGGGCTGTGGGACCATAGGGCTGTGGGACCATAGGGCTGTGGGAACATATGGCTGTGGGAACATTGGGCTGTGGGAACATAGGGCTGTGGGAACATTGGGCTGTGGGAACATAGGGCTGTGGGAACATTGGGCTGTGGGAACATTGGGCTGTGGGACCATAGGGCTGTGGGAACATATGGCTGTGGGAACATTGGGCTGTGGGAACATAGGGCTGTGGGAACATTGGGCTGTGGGAACATTGGGCTGTGGGAACATTGGGCTGTGGGAACATTGGGCTTTGGGAGCATAGGGCTGTGGGAACATTGGGCTGTGGGACCATTGGGCTGTGGGAACATAGGGCTGTGGGAACATTGGGCTTTGGGAGCATAGGGCTGACCCCCTTGTGGGTGGTTGGAAATGTTAACTGGGTGAGCTCAATGATTTTCTTCAATGTCAGAAACCTAAAACAAATCCGTTATGAAGCTCAATATCTGAACAAAAAAACTGAACGGGTAATAACCATCATCGACCTCTGGGAGCTCCTCCGGCCTCGGTATCATAAAGTGAATCATATCATCCTTCAGAATGAAATGATGAAAAGAAGAAAGACAAGCTTTTTGATATCAAGAGGCTTTTTTCTGTGCGACCTTCGGACCGACCTCGTCTTCAGGTTCTTTCAGCGGTGGACGAATCAAAAAAGGGTCCAGGGAATCAAAAAGTACCGGTGTTATTATTCAAAGCTGAAAGGCAGAGGAAGGTTATCGATGCTGAAGGTTGTGTTTCTTAGAGATTTCTTTTAGACTTTTTAAAGCAGTGTAAATGTCTCTTATGTGAGCTTTAATAGATCTGACGGCTCCAGATGACCTCAGAGAAGCTGTGGCAGGCTTTTTGATAAACCTCAAAGGGGCACAAGAAGTGAAACGGTTCTGAACTAGTTTTGCTTTTGGACAAACCACATGTGTTTTTCTACAGCTTAAACCCTTCCTCCCGTATTTTCTTCTCAAAGTGTGATGAAAGGTGAAACTGACACCAAATCCTGCACTTGTTTGCAGTATTCTGTATTCTCTAGTGATTCAGGAATCATGATCTATTTTTAAATAATTGTCTTGCAATAGATGAAGTCGCCCAGAATTGCTGTATCATGATCATGTATCACATCTTGACGCATCCCGTGGTATCCCATGGCAACACATACTTGCCGTACCGCATCATATCGTATTGAGTCGTATTGTATCGTCCATCCATCCTTCCACTTTTCCTCCGCTTATCCGAGATCGTGTCGCGGTGGAAGCAGGTCAACCCAGACTTCCCTCTCCCCCCAGCAAAGTTTTCCAGATCTGCCCATGGGGATTCTGAGGCGTTCCCCAGCCCAGATCCAATACCTCCAGCAAACTGTGGGTCTACCCCGGGTGTCTCCTCCCAGTTGGGCGTGCCTTTAAAACCTCCAAAGGGAGGCATCCAGGAGGCATCCTAATCAGATAACCAAACCACCTCAACTGGCTCTTTTTGATGCAAAGGAGAAGCGGCTCTACTCCAAGTTCCCCCTGAATGTCTGAGCCCCTCACCCGATCTCTAAGGCTGAGCCCAGACCCCCTCCAGAGGAAACTCATTTCAGCCCTTTGTATTCTTTCGGTCGCTACCCACAGCTCATGATTGCATCCTATCATATCGTTTCATGGGTTGCCCTCTGATTCCCATCCTTCATTAATACACTCTACATTTCAGAATCTAACCTTTGACCTGATTTTGTTCCAGGGGAGGATCTACATGTACGGTGGAAAGATCGACTCCACGGGAAACGTGTCCAGCCAGCTGTGGGTTTTCCACATCCAGAATCAGACCTGGGTCCTCCTGAGCCCTCGGTCCAAGGACCAGTACGCTGTGGTGGGACACTCGGCCCACGTTGTCCCTCCCCTCCAGGAAGGGGACAGTCCCGTCATGCTGGTCCTGTTTGGACACTGTCCTCTGTACGGCTACATCAGCCTGGTGCAGGAGTACAACATTGGTAAGTTGTTGCAGAAGCTGCAGGACCATGTGGTGTTACAGAGACACATGTTTCAGTCTTCATATCCACCATGTGTCCAATAAACCTTTTAGCTGCTCCCTTGCTTTGCATAAAAAAACTTTGCCCGGGTGTTAATGCCTAAATATATCAGTTTATAACAATGGGAAATTAACACCGGACACCAAGATGAAACTAACGAGTTCTGGACTCCGTGGTGTGTTCATTAAATCCTCCCACCTCGTTGGCTGGCAGCCAGACTCAATTTGGAGGCCTCATTGTCTTCTAAGAGCCGATCTGTGAGACACAATGGGATGAATTAACCTGCAACTACGGCCGATGGAAACGAGTGTATCTCCTATTTTCTCACAGTTAGGAGAGATGTTTGTTATTTCATTTTCTGAATGATTACCAATAAAATCTGATGAGACTTTTTAGGAGCAATAATAGGAAGATTACAGACAGTAAAATGCTGTTTAAACTCAGTCTAGCTTTAATAAACCCTCATCCCTGCGGGGACAGGAAACTGAGACTGTCCCTCTTTCATATCTTAGCGGTATTTTATTAACTCATGATCGTTTTTTCTGCTACTCAGTAAACAATATTTGTATGACCCCCTGCAGTCAAGAACTCGTGGAGCATGGTGAGCACAGACGGTGCGCTGGTCCAGGGCGGCTACGGCCACAGCAGCGTGTTCGACCCTGGCACCAGAGCCATCTACATCCACGGAGGCTACAAGGCCTTCAGCGCCAACAAGTACGGCCTGGCTGGAGACCTGTACAAGTTCGACGTGGACAAAAGGAGATGGTGAGAGTTCACTGTGTAATGCCTCGTCTGGAGCTGTTTTCACACATGCACTCCTGAAATCGTCCTGACTCGCCTGTTCATTCAGAGCGAGGCTTTCCCTGTGGGATTACACTGTGGGAGGGCCGGGGGGCTCTGAGGAGGCAGGACATGACGTTAAAAGAACTACATGGAAATGGTGGCTGAAGCACTAGTATGCAGACCAAAGCAATGGTTTGTGACTCGATTAGTGTTAATCCCGCCCACTGAATTTGATGGGAGAGGATGACAGATAAAATTATTTCATGATGCACTGCTGGAGCAGGAAACATGAAATAATTAAATAAATAGTGGAATAAATAGATGTGTTTTTACATAGAATGAATGAACATTTTAAATACTTATTTAAACATTTATTTAATTATTTATGTATTTCATAAATTATTTATTTATTTATTTATTTATTTATTTATTTATTTATTTATTTATTTATTTATTTATTTATTTATTTATTACCAATTTTAAATAATTAATGACACATTTAAATAATTATTTAATAATTTAATAACACATGCATTTAATTAATTAAATAATTATATATTTATTTATATACTTATTTCCAATATTAAATAATTGATGACACATTTAATGATTTAATTAATTATATATTTATATATTTCATTTTAGTCCTCCATACACCAGAGTCTGACATCTTGATAATAACAGTGTCTGCCTCAATGCTACATGTAATTGGATATATTCACTGTTTTAAAGAATGAAAGAGTTTGAAGCAGCGTCACAACATGCATGACATTTACGGCCCTCGCTCAGCGGTTATGCGATGTAAAACGTCAGCAACCTTGCTGGACGCTCACAGGGAACTTTCCTGAACATTTTCTGCTGCGTTCACACAGCACGCACACATTTTCTCACCCACTAAAAAAGACTGGGTGAAACAATCGTCTGTTTGCTTTCACACATGCAGCTCACCTGGAAAAACAATCCTGGACATTTTTTTGTGAAAACACCACATGTGGAAAAGACACAACATGAAAAACATGTCCTATCTCTCTTAGTCAAAATCATCCACAAAGACAAATACATCAAGATATGAGATGTTATATTCATTAACATCAACACATGGGTTATTCTGAATAAAACTTCAAGGTAAGGGCCACCAGTCGAGTGAGTGTTGAGTTTGGAGATTTCATTACACAAAGGGTTGTAACAGCAGTTCAGATGATGTGTCATTTTATTCTGCTGAAAGTGAAATCTGTATAACTATCAAGTTTGTGAAATCATCTTTATTTTTTTGTGTGTGTGTGTGTGCAGGACGATTCTGAGAGACAGCGGCTTCTTCCGGTACCTCCACACAGCCGAGATAGTGAGCGGGACGATGCTGGTGTTTGGGGGAAACACACACAATGACACATCCATGAGCCATGGCGCCAAGTGCTTCTCCTCCGACTTCCTGGCGTACAGTCTGGGTAAATATCACACACACACACACACACACATACACGCACACACACACACACACACAGAAAACAACAGTAGCTCTGGCAGTCTGCTCTCCTGGCCCCAGCTCATCATATTGTATTGTTTTTCCTGCTCTGAGCTGCTCTGCATTCAAACAGCCGCACAGACTCACACCTGGGAGCCGCTCAGTACAACTGCAGAGTTTTGTTTTTGGACGCTGAGCAACAAAAGGCCAAATGTCACGACTCCACTCCTCTTTCACACCTAGTGCTCTGAATAATGAGTTCTCAGCAGCGCACTGATTTTTGCATGTCACATACTGTATATGCACGTGTGACTTGTTTGGTAAATGGGAAAGGGAAGTTGAGTCTTAAATTACTTGTTTTGGTTTTCATGGTTATTTATGTGCTTGTGAATCTTGCAGTGTCTAGTAGCTCAAGTTGTGTTGAGTCCAAGTTACTGGACTTGAATGAGTTTTGATTTACATCAGGAGGAACTGCAGTACCACCTGATGTAAATCAAAACTTCCTCATTCAAGTGTCCACTTGAGGCTGTCTGCAAAACTCAAATTATCTTAATTAGGTCCCATGTCAAAGGTCACCATGTTCCTCTAACTCTAACATGTGTCTCTAGTCCGTCTACAAACCCCCCAATGATGAGAAAAGTCCATCCTCTCCGTCTTTTCCCTGCTCCACTTTTCAGAAAATGTGTGCTCAAACAGGCCGTTTGGAGATTTTCCCTTCATGACATCACAAAGGGCAGTAGCCCCTCCCCCAGGTGGGTGACACTCCCACAGCTAGGTGTTTGTTCTTCCCTCTGAGTCTGCCTTCTCACCGTAAACAATAGGACATGGAGCGAGAAAGACAGAGACACTCAAGCCCTTCCAGAGAGGGGGCGTGGTCAGACACCGCTCATTTACATATTTAAAGGTACAGACACAGAAACAGCCTGTTTTGGTCTCATTGGACTAAATTTATATAATTAGGGGAGTGACTGAGTTGATAGGCAGGCGGGCATGTTTTAATGCCCAACAGGCTCAACCTGTTGGGTGCAGCTGTTCCCAATATGGTGACCGCCATCATGGGCTACATGTGTGAGTGGCGTCACTCACACTACGTCCATGTTTTATACAAACATGATTTACATCCAGAGGTTTATTCTGTTCTGGGTATGAAGTCAGTTAAAACTCCACTTCATCAGTTTGGATTCAAACGTTAAAACTCTTTTTGGGCGCTCCCCAGGGGGCCGCGTCGCTCTCCGTCACAAAAGTAAACAAACAGAAAAAACAATCCCTGAAGCTGCGGCTCACGCTTGACTCCTTCAGAGGATTCCTCAGCGATAGTAGAATAATGTAATCACTAAACTGATCAAGAGGATTCACACAGACGCCTTCGGGGGCTTCACTCTGAAGTCTCTGATGTTTGTCATTGTGCTTAACGTGCTAAGGAGCCTTTAATCAAGACACTTAACCCCGACATTGTTTAGCACAGCTGCTCACAGCGGAGCGGTAGAGGTACAGATCAGCTCCCTCGTGTGTGTCTTTACTGAAGATTGTAGATAAGGAGCGTACATCCCACTGAGACGCCTCCCCATGGGTTTGTGGAGCGTTGTGTGGAAGCCTTCAATTTGGCATTTCATGTGTTAGCAGCTTGTTTGTTTTTGAAAACAGAAGTGACAATATTAAGAGAATAAATCAAAACTTCAGAGGACTGACATGCTAATCGCTAGCTCGATTTAAAAAAGCTTCTGTATTCATCAGTAATGGTGATATTAATTGGCAAACAGACTTTCTGAAACATAACATGGCAAAGATATAGTATACACTATGTGTGGCACAGGTGGCCTAGTGGTTAGGTCATGCGCCCCATGTACAGAGGCTGTGGTCCTTGGTGGGGGGGGGGAGCTGAGGGATTTAGGGAGCACTTGTTTTGGTCTTCAAATCGATTCTGAAAGTTGCAAAGTCTTACCTCAAACTCTCTAACTCTAACTGATCTCATAACTTAAATATTAGACTTTCTCATTGCTCTGCTAATGGCTTTTCAATCATAAGGTGTCCCCACCCCCCAAAAGGAACCCACCTATGTCCTTAATTTCACTTTTAAAAGGGATAGTAATCTGCAATATGAACATCAGACTGAATTGATGAAGACTTCAAAGTAGAAATTGGAACCGTGAACTCATATGAGAAACGTTTATTACTGTAATAAATCAAAAGAGAATTAGGCTTATCTTCTTCTTCTTTACAGTCTCAACCAAACTTTGGACTCACCTTCAGCCGGCCATTAGAAACAAGACACGTCCCTTTAACCTTGTGGTTCAACCAGGAGAGAGTAGGATCTATTTATCTGTTGAATACGATCATCGAATGCACCGTTTGCTTTTTTTAAAAACTCTTCTGATGTGTCCTTAAGGAGGTTACCACAGCTTTGTCAGACACTATGCTCATTATGTAAGCCACCTTCAAAACGTTGTTGTAAATTGAGTCGGCCTCCTTCTGCAGCGCTGTCACAAAGAGGCGCTCGTTAATAGGAGGATTTCAGTCTGTGTGGACGGGAGGGAGATGTCCCTGCGGGCGGTGAATTCGCCCCAGGACATTCTGCTTTCCTGTCATTAGAGAGATGACTGACAGGCGGAGAGATAACAATTGCCGGGGCACGAGCCGCCAAAGTTTTTATTCTTCAGAAATGCATTTTGAAACTTCAACAAAACTTGTTGTTTTCCAGCCTGGTGGACGGTGGAGGCTGCAGCAGGACGTGCAGAGGCATCCCCTTTAATTAATTCTCAGCGTATAGCATCCCTGTTTTATACATTAAAAGGAAACCGCATGTCCTCTTCGTGATTGGCATAATGAGACTCATGTGGGCACAGCGGGGGAACATATTGTTTTCATGATTTCCCCGGAGACTTTTTGCTTTTTGAGTCAAACTTTAGAGATTAAAAAACTTAATGTTTCATTGTTTTGTTTTTTACCCCCTCCCTCATCTGTGACCTCTCTCTCCTTTCTGTCGCTCATCATCCTCTGTAAGAGTTTGTAATTGGACATAGGAACCCCCCCCCACTTCTCCCCCTCCATCACAAGCAGCCAGCTGCAGGGTTGGTGTCAGCAGCAGCAGCAGCAGCACAGCAGCTCTGTAATTGTCTGGTAATTACAGAGGAGATGAGCTCTGCGTTGTGGACTAATCACCCCCCCTCCTCCCCCTTAACAAGCTGAACTCAATTAGAAAGCTTTAAGGGCCGTCCGTTGTCCTGACATTGGTA